ACTCAGTACATAACAATACCCCTTTAAACAGGCATAGCTTCCCCCCAAAGAATTCTGGGAACTGTAGTTTGTGAAGGGTGCTAGGAATTCTTAGGTGGCCCCTCACAGATCTGTAATTCCCAGAGGAATTCCCTATGAAGAGGGATGGTTTGTTAAACCGCTCTGAGAATTGTGGCTTAGTCAGCATGTTATTCTTTGAAGGAGAACTACCTGAAAATGATTCACAAATGGTATTTAACTCCAAGTAGGCTTGCTAAGATGTACATGATTGAATCACATAAGTGCTGGAGATGTAAAGAGGTAGAGGGAATGTTCTTTCATATGTGGTGGACATGTAAAAGGGTAAAAGAGTGTTAGGAAATGATCTATAATGAATTGGGGGGGAAAGTTTAAAAGTACTTTCCTCCCCAAAACCCCAAGTCCTTTCTGTTGGGGATAATTCAGACTGAAATCCCCAGGTGTCAGAAAAGGTTATTTATGTATGCCACTACTGCGACCTGTGTTTTGTTAGCCCCCAAATGGAAAACGAGCGAGGCCCCGACTAAAGAAGATTGGCAACGTAAACTGATGGAATATGCACAGCTTGCAGACTTATCATACAGAATAAGAGAACAAGAAGAACATACGTTTAAAGAAGACTGGAAAACGTTTATTGAATATATGGGAAATAATTGTGTACAGCTGAAAAAGCTGGCAGCATTAAGATAAATTTAACAGTGCAAATCAGTTTTGATGGATGCAATAATGGAAAACTGATTGGTATAGTTTTTGTAAAATATGCAAGGATTTAAGATATGTAAGGGACGCGGGTGGCGCTGTGGGTTAAACCACAGAGCCTAGGGCTTGCCAATCAGAAGGTCGGCGGTTCGAATCCCCACGACGGGGTGAGCTCCCGTTGTCTGGTCCCTGCTCCTGCCAACCTAGCAGTTCGAAAGCATGTCAAAGTGCAAGTAGATAAATAGATACCGCTCCTGCGGGAAGGTTAATGGTGTTTCCGTGCGCTCCTCTGGTTCGCCAGAAGCGGCTTAGTCATGCTGGCCACATGACCCGGAAGCTGTACCAATAAATCGAGATGAGCGTCGCAACTGCAGAGTCGGCCACGACTCTGTCCCTTTAGGGGTCCCTTTACCTTTTTAAGATATGTAAAAGGAATCATGGAAAGAGAAAAAGAGAAAAAGGGAAGTCATTGAAATCGTAAGGATGTAAAATGAGTATTTGAAATTGTAAAACAGAAAATATAATAAAAATTATAAAAAGGAGAGAATTGTAGCTTAGTGAGGGGAATAAGGATCTCTTAGCAACTCTCAGCACCCTTAGCAAACTGCAGTTTGTGGGATTCTTTGAGGGAAGCTGTGACTGTTTAAACTAAGGCCAGATCCGGCAAATTGCTTTCTAAATCCAGCCTGCGGACGGTCCGGGAATCAGCGTGTTTTTACCTGAGTAGAATGTGTGCTTTGATTTAAAATGCATCTCTGGGTTATTTGTGGGGCATAGGAATTCGTTCATTTATTTTTTCTCCAAAATATAGTCCGGCCCACCACATGGTCTGAGGGACGGTGGACCGGCCCACATATACGAGCCCCATCTCTTGGCATCTGATTGACGGTTGGTGGGGTGGGTGATGGGGGAGAAGGCTGCGCTGAAGAATGACTGCAGGAAAACGTAGTTCAGCGGGCTAGTAATGAAACTTTCACAACATACCTTCCAACATTCATACGATAAAAATTGGGACATGGGACTCACACCTCCTTCCTGAAGCTTAGGGAAGGAGGAAGGGGGACTCCAGGATCTTGTCAGGCCTTGTACCTCCTTGCCCAAGCCTGGTTTGTTTTATGCTGCCCTGGGAAAGGACTTGAGGTCTCTACCTAGAGCCTATCCAACTGCCTTCTCCTTAGGTCTGCTACTGTGTGTTTTTACATGAGTAGAATGCGTGCTTTTATTTAAAATGCATCTCTGGGTTATTTTGGGGGCATAGGAATTCATTCATCCCCCCCCAAAAAAAATATAGTTTGGCCCCCCACAAGGTCTGAGGGACAGTGGACCGGCCCCTTGCTGAAAAAGGTCTGCTGACCCCTGGTAAACTGTCGTCATGGAGCTTTCAATGTATGGTGTGAATGTGACCTGTGTTTATTCATTATGCAACACATCTACGCAGAGGCACAGCCCTTAAATCAGCACCAATGCCTTCCAGACATAGCTAAAGAGATAGCTGTCTTTCCTGCAGCAATAACCCTTAAACAGCCATAACCCTTTGCAGTATTATAGGGGTGAGCAAGAAGGGGGAGCCCCTGAAATATTGGAGGCTTCAAACTGTTTTCTTTTTTGGTTTAGTTCTCCCAGAGAACAGGGACTGCGTTCACTGTGGGTTCTTAAAATCTGCAGAAATTGGGGGTGTGTAGGGAATTCTAAGCATATGGAAATTAATGGAGCTTCTCTGAGAGTAATTAAGGGGAATCTCAGGGAACTTTTGTTGGAACTGTCAAGGCTGGTGGTAAGCAGATTGGCAGAGAGTGCCGTAGAACGCATCTCTACTGCCACTACAAATTTTAAGGTCTCAGAGGAAAGGAACACTTAAATAAAATAAAATAGGGGCTTCCCTTCTGGTCCCCCCCCCCATAAACTAGGGAACCCAATTGCATAAGAAATGGAAGAAATAAAATCTTCAATTAAACATTGGGCAAAAGATATTTCTCCTAATATAGATATGGAAGCATGGGAACGATTGTGGAATATGGATATAAAATTTACAGCATGTTATGGTCTAGGAGAAAATTGTATGACAATGATATATCGATCGTATCTAACACCGAGTAAGTTGGCAAAAATGTATAAATTAAATCAAATGTAATGAGAAAGAAGGTTCTTTCTCTCATATGTGGTGGTCTTGTAGTAAGGTCAAAGCTTACTGGGAAATGATATATAATGAAATGAAAAGGATGTTTAAAATAACCTTTGTAAAAACACACAAAACAAAACCCAGAAGCTTTTCTTTGGGGAATTATAGGGACAGAACTACCTACAATGTATAGAAATTTATTCATGTATGCTGCTAAAGTGGCAAGAATACTACTTGCCCCCAAATGGAAAGAAGCAGAAGTCCCAGCAAAGGAAGAATGGATACAAAAACTTATGGAATATGCAGAAATGGCGAAACCTACCAGAAGAATAAGAAATCAAGATCACAATTTTATATATATATATATATATAAAAGAATGGAAAGGGTTAATGGAATATTTACAGATAAATTGCAAAGAGATAAAAACATTGGCAGGATTATTGTAACAATCTGCAGTTTCATAAGAGTATATATTTAAAGTAGATGAACAGATGAGCATGTTAAGTTAATTTGGTTATGCAGAAGGTATTAGAAACAAATTTAAGGAACCACAGAAAGAGGGGGATGGAAGTCAAGTTTTGAAATGTCAGAATGATTGTAAAATTAGTGAAGTGTATAAAACTGTCTCGCCAGAGTGGTACATGCTCTGGTTATCTCTCGCTTGGACTATTGCAATGTGCTCTATGTGGGGCTACCTTTGAAGGTGACCCGGAAACTACAACTAATCCAGAATGCGGCAGCTAGACTGGTGACTGGGAGCGGCCGCCGACACCATGTAACACCGGTCTTGAAAGACCTACACTGGCTCCCAGTACGTTTCCGAGCACAATTCAAAGTGTTGGTGCTGACCTTTAAAGCCCTAAACGGCCTCGGTCCAGTATACCTGAAGGAGCGTCTCCACCCCCATCCTTCTGCCCGGACACTGAGGTCCAGTGCCGAGGGCCTTCTGGCGGTTCCCTCGCTGCGAGAAGCCAAGTTACAGGGAACCAAGCAGAGGGCCTTCTCGGTAGTGGCACCCGCCCTGTGGAACGCCCTCCCATCAGATGTCCAAGAGAAAAATAACTACCAAACTTTTAGAAGACATCTGAAGGCAGCCCTGTTTAGGGAAGCTTTTAATGTTTAATAGGTTATTGTATTTTAGTGTTTTGTTGGAAGCTGCCCAGAGTGGCTGGGGAAACCCAGCCAGATGGGTGGGGTATAAATAATAATAATAATAATAATAATAACTAGTGAAATGTATAAACTTGAATAGAATGAATGAATGAATGAATGAACATGCATAAGAAACTGGGAGCATCAGAAGATGCCTGATTTCAAGCCCAGACCATTGTGCCATCTCACTCAGTATTGGTAACTCTGGCTGGCAGCGGCTCTCGCCAGAGAGGACAGGGAGTGAACCTGGAATTCTCTGCATTCAAAGCAGATGCTGTACCACTGAGCTGCATGCCTCTTCCCATGAACTGGTACCCAGAGACATTCTGCTTCTGATCCTTAGCAACCAGGACCAGTAACCATTGGTAAGCTGTGTCCTCCAAGAATTGTTCCCTCTTAATGCCATTCACATTGGTGGAACCATCACATCTTGTGGCAGAGAATTCCACAGGTTAATCACAGGGAAACCACGATGCTGGGGGAAAAACAAATGATCCAGAATCCTTCAGCTTTAGCTCCCCAGGCTATAAAACTGCCATTATAGCAACTCCCCTTCTACAGGGGTTGAATAAGGATGACCTGGATGAGGCAATATCTCATTTAGGTAATGCATGTTAGTGGTTTGCTTTTACTTTTTTAAAAAATATCCTTCAGTAAATCACTTGCATTCTCTGACTAGAGTATTTTGGCTAGAGGAATACAGAGAAAATTGATGATTCAGTTCAATGATTGAATTATTGTTATTGTTATTGTTGAACTTGTAATGCCCATTTCCAAATAAATGTGTCAATATTGACTCACAACTTCTTCTTCTTCTATAATTACATTTCTATACCTCCCTTCATCCAAGGATCATGGGGCAGTTTACAATATAAAAATACAAAAATACATACCATAGTTACAAGCAAAAATAATAACCTCTCTACACACAGGGGGGAACACCCACATTTGAGCATGTGGATGCTAACCACAATTACAGCTGAGATAAAATGAGTGTTGCCAAAGCACCAGGGATAGCTCAGTTGGTTAGAGCACAGTGCTGATAATGGCAAGGTTGCGGGTTTGATCCCTGCATGGGACAGTTGCACGTAGTATTTCTGCATTGCAGGGGGTTGGACCAGATGATTCTCAGGCTCCCTTCCAACTCAACAATTCTGTGATGGAGATCCTCGCTTTGTTTTTAAGGGGGTTGTTCTGTCCCTACTTTCAAACTGAAAAGCAGAACCAGGAGAACACTGGGCTGAGTCCTGAACCCAATAAGTCCTGAGCTTAAGCTGGGGAAAAATAAAAACTGGACCAGCTCAGAAACACAATATCTTTGCCCAACCTGCCTCTTCCCTGGGTAATATCTTGGCTGCATTAAAAGCAGCGCCGTTTCTCTCTTCTAGAAAATGTGTTTCAGCATTAATCGCTTTCCCCTTCTCCAGCTAGTGCTTGTGTTGCAGAAGATGGAAATGACCCAGCATATTTTTGAAGGGACCGTGTAAACAATGTAAAATATCAGCCAGGCTGCTGCCGCTGACTCCTTTGTCATTGTGACTCACAGCCTGCTTTTGGCATCTGACTTTGAATTGTGCCTCTCTTTCTCTCTCCCTGCAGTTTATCATTTCTTGGCTCACTGTTCACAAGCTCAGCAACTAAAAGCCACATTATTACTATGGGACGAACTGAGGTCAGCTTATGTACAAATGTGCAAATGTACCATCACGAATGAAGAGAGCCACACTGAATTTTCACGAGTGCCAAGCTGAAATGTGCCTGTTTAACGAGGACGAAGCCTTTTGCCAAATCACATGGGGATTAGAAACGTTTCCTTGACTTTTGTCCAAGTCCTAGCCATTAACTACGTACAGCACAGAGAGACTTGCAGAAAAGACCCTGCCGGCTGATTTTTAAAGCGCAAGACCAGGCAGCCTTCAGAACAGTGAAAGTCCATCGTTTTTCTGACCAAGTTGAGACAACCTCCTCACCTGGATTGAGCTAAGGCACAGGGCAGGAATAGACACCATGGTGCCCTGCAGAAGATGTTGGACTACAGTTCCCATAATCCCTGATCATTGGCCATGCTAGCTGGGGCTGATGGGAATTGCAGTCTAAAATTCTACAAGGTAGGCTTAAGTAGTATGTGGACCGAGAACTCCCAGAAGTGCAAGCTGGATTTCGAAGGGGCAGAGGAACCTGAGACCAAATTGCAAACATGCGCTGGATTATGGAGAAAGCTAGAGAGTTCCAGAAAGACATCTACTTCTGCTTCATTGACTATGCAAAAGCTTTTGACTGTGTCGACCACAGAAAACTCTGGCAAGTTCTTAAAGAAAGGGGAGTGCCTGATCACCTCATCTGTCTCCTGAGAAATCTCTATGTGGGACAAGAAGCTACAGTTAGAACTGGATATGGAACAACTGATTGGTTCAAAATTGGGAAAGGAGTACGACAAGGCTGTATATTGTCTCCCTCCTTATTTAACTTATATGCAGAATTCATCATGCGAAAGGCTGGGCTGGATAAATCCCAAGACGGAATTAAGATTGCCAGAAGAAATATCAACAACCTCAGATATGCAAATGACACAACCTTGATGGCAGAAAGTGAGGAGGAATTAAAGAACCTTTTAATGAGGGTGAAAGAGGAGAGCGCAAAATATGGTTTGAAGCTCAACATCAAAAAACTAAGATCATGGCCACTGGTCCCATCACCTCCTGGAAAATAGAAGGGGAAGAAATGCAGTGAGAGATTTTATTTCTTGGGCTCCATGATCACTGCAGATGGTGACAGCAGTCATGAAATTAAAAGATGCCTGCTTCTTGGGAGAAAAGCAATGACAAACCTAGACCGCATCTTAAAAAGCAGAGACATCACCTTGCCGACAAAGGTCTGTAAAGTTAAAGCTATGGTTTTGCGTGGACAGGCGGAGTCCCCAGATCCCGCGCGGTCCCCCCGTCATGTGGAATAATGACTCATGACAACGTGCTATGGGATTAAATTGGCCACAACTTTATTAAATTTCAAATGTGGGCAGACCTTGGCTCAGGCATTGGGTGTTCTCCCTCCCCAGTCCCCAGCCAGGGACCTAGGGAGCATCAGGGTTATCCAGTGTATGTGTGTGGGGGGGGATGGGCCGGCTCTGGAGAACATACGTTCAAGCAGAGATAGCCGCCCCCGTTACGCCACCGCCGCAGGGGAGAGCAATGACGACCTCTCGGCGTACGGTCAAAGCCTCCCTTCAGAAACCCCTTTAACGGGGAACCCTGGTATCGCCGCCGCAAAGAGGAAGATGAACTAAAGGATTCCGCCCAAGGCCTGATACCGCCAAAGTTGTGACGTTTTGCTACGGGAAAGGCGAAACCTGCCAATACAGGGAAATTCCTTTCCGGCCCTTTAACAGTGACCTTAACGTAGCAGCGCCCGCATACCTGTGAAGAAAAGTTAACCTGCAAATGAGACATTAACTGAGGGTAGGTAGGGTGGGAGAAGCTCTGGAGCCAAGTGAGGATTCCCAGGTAAGATCCTCCCTCTATTGTGTGGGCAGGTAATCCCTCCCCTACCTGGCCTCGTCTCCTTGGCAACGCTTCCCCCAGGTGGGATTGGACAACTGACTGAGGTAGGCGGAGACCTCCAGGTATCCCACCTGAGGGAAGGCAAGCCAAGCCTATGCTGTTGGAGCCGCTCCAGATCTAGGGGCTGCGCGCATCCACGCAAAGGGCACCCCCCGTTTTAAGCGGGGAGCGGTCATTCTCAGTAGTGATACATGGAAGTGAGAGCTGGACCATAAAGAAGGCTGATCGCCGAAGAATTGATGCTTTTGAATTGTGGTGCTGGAGGAGACTCTTGAGAGTCCCATGGATTGCAAGAAGATCAAACCTATCCATTCTGAAGGAAATCAGCCCTGAGTGCTCACTGGAAGGACAGATCCTGAAGCTGAGGCTCCAAGACTTTGGCCACCTCATGAGAAGAGAAGACTCCCTGGAAAAGACCCTGATGTTGGGAAAGATTGATTTAAAATGTTGAAATGATTGTAAAATCAGTGAAACGTATATATCTGAAATGTATAAATAAATAAAAATAAAATAAAGGTGGGCCACTGGCCTGATCCTGCAGGCTTGGCTTCTGTACTTCTGCCGCTTTGATGCTGCTGTGCATAGAAACCACAGCTAGATCTTTTATATCTCAGCCCAGACAAGAGGTATATAATTCCAGGGTGGAGAAGTCCAAGCCCGCTTGACATTATCCTGCTGGAATGGCTCAGTTGGTAGAGCATGAGACTCTTAATCTCAGGGTTGAGGGTTCGAGCCCCACATTGGGCAAAAGATCCCCGCGTTACACGGGGTTGGACTAGATGACGTTTGGGGATCCATTCCAGCGCTACAAGTCTATGATTTCCCAATTCATGGATCTTGTAGTTCATTTAATTAGGTTTTGTCATGTTCCCTGGCAGACGGGACTGATTTCTTTTGATTCCTTTGATCATTCTACTGATCTGTGAACCTTGTCATATTTAGCTTTTTTTAACACAGCATCAAGCACGGCATTTGATCCGCAATAGTAACATCCCTGCCGTCCTTGATAATTGAGCATGGCTGATCCATGCCCCTGTGGCTGGTTGCACAAGTTGAACAAAAAACACCCCCTCTGAAGTGATAATGTGGGATTCAGCTTCACCTGTTCTGTAGGTAAACAAATTCTCATTTGAAGTGAAAAGTGTTTAATTAGCACTGTGGGCTGAATCCAGGAGTACTGTGTGGTTTTTGGGGGGGGGCATATCAGACACCACACCTGGTCAACATGCCAGAAAACAGAGTTTAACATCTCCCACTAAAATAAAATAATAATAATAATAATAATAATAATAATAATTTATACCCCGCCCATCTGGCTGGGTTTCCTCAACCACTCTGGGCGGCTCCCAATGGAATATTAAAAACACAATAAAACAGCAAACATTAAAAACTTCCCTAAACAGGGCTGCCTTCCGATGTCTTCTGAATCAGTTAAAGAAAAAGGCAAGACATATTTGACTTCTCTGTACAGATAACAATTTATTAGCTGAGGCATGGACCTTAGGGACAGTCTCTCGCACATAGTATTTTGGACTTGGAAACAGATGCCTCGATTTAAAGTATGTATGTTCTGCTTAGGCTGTAAAAGCACATGATCTGGAGCTAACTTCCACCTATTTTAAAGGGACAGTTTTGCTGGGATGTGATTAGGTGCTAGGAGAGGATATATTTATTAGATATGATCCTTCCTTCCTCACATTCGCAAGTTCGGCAGAGTGCAGCATAAAATGGAAGCTTAGATTGTCTAGTTTTAGCGTTTTAGTTTAAGTAATCCAGGATGCTTTAAGGCAGACTGGATTCTCCTGGATTTCCCCCTCCCCCCTTAAAATAACAATCACACAAACAGTCTTGTAAAATATATATTAATAAATCATTTACTCAGAACACTTGTTGAAGAGTAACACATATAGTAGGCTTTGCTCAGGCAGGCTTAAAATGGTAATTCAATTACAAAGACCTGCTTAAGTCTAGCAGATGTTCTTCACATTTCTTTTTTTAAAAAAATATTTTATTTATGGTTTTCAATTTCATACATGTCAATAATTTCACAATAATCTAAACATTTCAAAACTTCAGCTCCTATCATGTGCCTATCTAGCAACACGTGGACGGTGGGTTTGACTGCATCTTAAATACCCCACATTTTTATTTGAAAAGCGGAGTTGTAGGAAGGAGGAGTGAAGGCAACCGTCACACCCACCCATTGACTTTGCAAATAAAAATAAAAAGTCAGCCTCATTAGGTAGTTGTATATTACTTGCTTGAGTATCCTTTTTCACAATGGGGGGAGAGTTGCAAACAGAAATGAAGCTCTGAGAGAGAGCAACATTGGTCACTGGATTGTGGGGTTCCAGAGAGATATTGTTGTTGTTGTTTAGTCGTTTAGTCGTGTCCGACTCTTCGTGACCCCATGGACCAGAGCACGCCAGGCACTCCTGTCTTTCACTGCCTCCCACAGTTTGGTCAAACTCATGCTGGTAGCTTCGAGAACACTGTCCAACTATCTCGTCCTCTGTCGTCCCCT